TTTTTTTTTTTTTTTTTTTTTTTTTTTTGTTTTCAAAATAGATCATATTGTACCAACGAAGATACAATTTTAGTTTGAAGAATAAATATTGGGTAGTGGAACTTAATGTTGCAATCATTAAATACTGAATAAAATGTGGTCGCATTCTTCAAGAAGAAATACACGTGTATGTAGATACTGAATAATGAACTTTTTATTTTGTTATTGAGCTTTTAATGTTTACACAGTGTAAAAAATTACTTAAGAACTAGTATGGCTGGTTAATACCGAGGCAAACAGTTTATGTTGCAAGATCGAACTTGATCTTGCCAGCGGGAAAAAACGGATTAAAGATAAACGGTGTGATTTTGATTGGAAAAACTAGATACATATATTCAGCAAGCTATTGATCTTTCTGGAAAGCAAAATTTCCAGCAAAGAAAGAAAGAAAGTCCAATAACTAACGTATCTTACTGTCTCTGTACTATTAACTTTAATTTGGTGTTCATGCAACGCTCGATATACCTTTTTTCGAAGTCAACGACTTCAGTATTCCCATACGTTCGTTTCAATCGCCAAATGTCTACCAATACGTACACCATAAATCTTTTCATCGAAAGAAATTTATTCTTATAAATACCTTCTGATGTTCTTAAAAAGCATTTTAGGGAAATAAAAATAAGAATTGAGAAGATTTATACGTAATACAGTTGCTATTATACAATAAAGAAGAAAATGGAAATTGCAAGTAAACGTAAATCTCCCGTGAAGATTCAGCATCGCGTGCCGCGAATGGCAATAGAACATTTCAATCTCGTCTAACAATTTATTTTCACCAATTTACTGGCTGGTTCTCGCATACGTCTTCGTTCTAGTATTTCCGTTGCCGCATCCGTCGAAGACCAGTGCCTCGCTGTCACTCACCTGCCGGGCCCGATGTAGCTAGAAAATTTAATTAAAGCCGCACGTGGTCGTAAATTATCCTGCTATCGACAGGGATAGATACCAGGATCGTGGTGGCGGCTGTAATTCTCGCAATAACGGGAAGAAAAGAACGAAGAATAGATGAGGGAAAGAAATAAACCAAATGTATCTCTGTATGTTTGCCAGCGCTTATGTAGTGTCTGTATGAACATTGCGTATAGAATCCTACATATGTGGTCATAAATACTTATATTTGATAACCATACTATGTATTTATGTAGATATACCAGCGTGTGTCGTAAATCTTTATGTATATATTCATATTTATGAATATGATGTTATGTGTTTACATGTGTTCAAATGTACTTGTACGTAGTACAAACTACGTGTATATACAGTAATTTGTATATACATTTGTATTTTCACACGTTACAAATGTTTGTACATGGTTATCTATGTTTCACATGTTTCGTCATTCGTTTCGTATATGTATAAATATATCTTCGATTTATATTTACATATGCACGATTCAAGTTAGATTTATTTCAGGATATTTGACCATATTTTCGTACGTTTCTTTTAACGTGGCATGTGAAATATATATGAATATGGGCGCGTGAAATGATCGGCCAAGAGAAAAGCGTGGTGGAGGCACTATAGTAGTAATACATTCGGCACGTTGCGGTCGCTGTTAGCACTGTTACTAGCTTTTACTATTCCGGTCGATCCTTTGAACCACGCCGCTCATGCGGCAGCCACAGGTAATAAAATGCGTTCACCATAAAATGCCGCGTCTTTTCTAGTCTCGCGCCAGCGGCGTTCCTCTCGTGTTGGTCCTCTCACGCAACATATCTACTTCATTGCACATCCGGCTGCGTCCGCTTTCCCTAATCCGCGAATTTTTCACGGGAATCTCTGACGATTTCAAAAACGGACTACTGTTTGGTACAAATCTGCCAATTATTTTGTTAGTTTTACAAATTTTTTTTACTTCATTTCATTGATCGATCGTTCTTAAATTGAGGCATGTGTGAAATGTTTTAACCTCTTGTGCTAGTAACTGGGATAACACGGACCATAACGAGTGACCAAACCGTATACAATAATTCGACTTCTTTTTCGAATTCATCGGTATATCACTGGATGGAAATTACTAAGAAGTAATAAATTTATTATTTACTTTGCCTGGACTATATTTCAATATACTGAAAACTGAGAAAATATTCCAATTTTGGGCCAAATATTCTCGACGTGCGCGGCGCGTCATTCATCAGCGCAAGAGGTTAAGATATTGTTTGAAATTGTAGATTAGTGACGACTCGCGCATGCGCATTCTTTCATTTGTCTGGACATGCGCATTAGAACGCACGATCTGTTTTCAGTGTAACCACTCCTTGTTAAGTGCTGTAGATTTTTATTTCTTCTGATGGGTTTTAAAGAGTATTCTGATTAATGTTGATAACTATTTTCATCAAAGGATTCAGACGTACGTAAGTATTCACGTTCTGTTGTCCTAATTCGATCTTTATGGAATCTCTCGATCATATTACCGCAGACTCTTAAAACTTTCATCTGACTTACATTTACGGTAATTTATCCGAGTAAATTATTTTGTTCGTAAACTGTTTTCCTTTTAATCATCTTAACTCTGATAAAACTATATAACTATGGTGCCATACTCGCACTGTCTGTACCCATATACATGCCTTAGCAAGTTCGTGTCGAGCATAAGTGGTGACAGACACTGTCAGTTGGTAGGTCAACACATTCAGTGTCATGACAGTCACTGATAACCGGTACAAAACTTGATGTTTACACCTCATCATTCACCGATGACCGTTATATGGTGGCTGTGTCAATATTGTACAGTACATAATTACACAGTTTTAAGGCTATGGCCGTGGTTGGCAATAAGTGGAGAAAGATGTGAAATACAGCATGTACCTGCACAAATTACATTTTTAAATTAAAAATATTATTTTAACGAGGAATTGAATACGATTCCCTGTCCTTTACTTTTAATGTGTAGTTAACGAGAAATTGTTTTTTTTTTTCCCATTATAATATATTATAATGTCGAGGAAAATTGAATCAGTGCAAAAAAAGATTAATTGAGGTTTAAATATCTAGATATTTCTTATTGACTACGTTGATAATAATTCGTTCAAGAAATCCGAACGATATTCCTGATTAATTAAAAAACATCTTTTTCAACATTTTTCAACATAAAGTTAATTGTAATTTCTTTCTCTCCTATTTGACGACAATTCACTGAAATAAATCACCTGAGAGCGAACCTAAATCAACAGATACCGAATCACCAGAAAAATTCCAACGCAGGAAGATAACCAGAGAGTATACGAGACAAACGGAGGGCGAGTTTAGAGGGTAAACATCGGCGGTAATTGGGAGAAAGTATAATATAAAGAATTTTCTAGTAAATTGAGTCGGCGACGCGGGATGAGATGGAATTTTCTCCATTTTCGTTTCGGCGCAATGAAAGTTTTCCAATAAGAAACGAAAGAGCTAATCAGAGTTTGCCCAGGGCTCAATGGCCCGTGCGCCAACGTGTCTCTATGCCTTTCTGCCCGTTCGTTTCTCTGTGTCCGTTACCTTCTTCGCCTTTTCTCCTTTTTCCAAAAAGTCGACAACCATGTCGAGAGAACACTCTAATCTCGCCAGTCTTCTATATATCCGTTCATGGGGAAAAGGACCGGTAGACCTTGCGTAAAGAAGGACAAACGAGTATGAAACCGTGTTGTCCAAGTTTCTTCTTATTGTTAGTCGAAGGCGCAGTTGAACGAACTTTGTCATGACAGATTGGATAAAGTTTGGTCGACCGGCTTTAATTCAGGAATTTGTCAATTTGGATCTATTGAAATCTGTATTCACCGGCATAAAAATTAGAAAATTTGAATATGAAACTGGGGATAGCTTGCAGAGATATGAGATACAGGAAGTCAAATATTTCAGAAAATTTGCAACACTACAACTTGGAACTTCATACACGAATTTCAACAGGTTAATTTAAATTAATCGAGGTATCGATCTAGTTTGTCAATATGGCATTTTATTTCATTGCTTATTAATAATTTTTAATATAAGTGTGTATCTTTTATAGCAGCAAGAACGATTTCTTTTTTTAAATTGTTCATTCTGAATTACACTGTTCAAAGATTAAATATCATAATATCATGAGATCACTCGCAATACGATAAGAAGTGTCACAGAGAACACTATCTCGTCGGTGTATAAACGAAAAGCGATACTCGAATGATACAGTCGTAACGAAACACCCGTGTACGGTATCATTGTTACCACGATATGTCGCTAAAAAGAATTATTAAAAAGCCAGAAAGTCGCCAGCCGCGCACAGTTGATGAAAAATAAATCATGCCGGGCCATGAATCGTTTTCTGTCAGATCGCGCAACCACGTGGCCGTCGGTGGCTTAATGGACAGAATTATTACTCTCTCATGCAATGCAAATCGAATGGTTACTCTCCTCCGTCCCCCTCTTCCCAAAAAAAAAAAGAGCCAGCGAAGAGGGGTGGTAGCATACGGTGAGGATAATTTGCGGAAATATCGCCCGTGTAAAATGATCCGCGGCAAGTGATGAAGCTCTCCGCGCCGAGATACATCTGTTTGTATATTACGCCAAGGTAAACATCGTTGTTGATGCAGCGCGCTATTATGCGCCGCGATGCATCATGCGCACACAAACAAGGAATTAACTCTCTCTCTCTGCGCGATTGGTTGGGGCTTCGATAACCGCCCCCTGCCCCCTCATCTCGCGTCGCTTCACGATAGATAGACATCATTCCAGTCATTCGATATTAAAAAATGACTGACATTCGATCCAGAATTAATTGCAATAATTTCAGATGCCTGTTTTTCGTCCTCGTTCTTCTAGGAAAACTCGATACAAGCGAGTATTCAAGCAAGAATGAATCGGCGTGGTAAATTAGTTAATTTCATTTCGTTTACTTTACAGTATTACTGAGTTTTTTACTTATAGTATCGGGTTTCAAGTGTTTTGAATCGCACGAGCCGGTTTGTACAAATTAGTCGAGCACTGCACTCTTGAGAGTAGATTAATCAATTTGATTTGTAAAATGAGTTGAATACTCGAGTAATTCTAACGTGTGGGGCGCCTTGGAAACTACCTGTTACTTGAAAGCGCACGGCAGAAAGTTTTTATGAACTCGAACGGAAATGGAGAAGTCAGTGGTGTGAAGCCGTACTTTCGATTTCTGTCCGCGTTACGTGAAACTCATTAGCCTATCGAACTAGAATTTCAAGGATATCGAGTCCATTTGATAAATCGGGAACGGACAAACTCTTTTTCGTAGCCTTTATTACCCTAGTTCTCTCTGCCGATATTAAAGTAAAAAAAAAAAAAAAAAAAAAAGACGGCGGTATCAGTGAAGTCTTTTGGAATAAGAATTTATCGTGATTAATGATAATGCATATCGATATATTGATAATGCACATGAGAAATTTACAATAAAAGGGACAAAGATAAGACAAATAGGAAAAATTGTATTTCACCTTTTTTCGAAATCTGTTTAAAAGAGAAATTGTCCAAACACGTAAAAATGTATTTTGTTTAGTGTCATCTTCAAGTTAAAGAAGCATTACTTGTTCGAATATCACAGATATTCGACCATGTGTGTTTTCTCCAATTTGCATGCACGTACGTCACGAAAAGGATCAAAGAGAGACGTCGCACGTTATGCTGAGAATAATCGTGAGAAGACGTTCTACAGCCGTGCTCGATAAATTTTCGAGTTCTGTGGCCTCTGCTGCGGATCGAAGAGAAAAATAGACACGTGGCTGCTTCGAGCAAAATTTCCAATATCAAAACGACTCTCGACGCACGTCAGGTGTAGTCACAAATTATTTTAAACTGAATGGTGAAGAACGAAAGTGGTGAAATCAAAAAATTAACCTCTTGCGCTGTCGCGCACGTCGAGAATTTTTCTTGTTCCAAAATTGTAATATTTCCTCAGTTTCAAGTATATTTAAGCAAAACAAATAATAAATAATACTTCTCAATAATTTCCATCCGGTGATATTGTAGCGACCTCTACTTCGAAGTATTTAGATCAACGACATCTATGTCCCGTCGAGATGTGTATTTAATATAAACAATAGAACATTTAAAAATAGCTATTAATTTTATTATCACCATAGAAATGTTTACTGACACTTATATATATTGTAGCCATAGTAGAAATCCTTCATTCGTTATTTCGTTATTTCGTCATTTAACTTCCATTATGTAATCTTCATTAAATTATTAGTAATTGTATATTTTGTGATATTGATAATATTTTTATACAAACAATTAAAATTAATTACGGAGTTATTATTTATTTATAGTATTGTGATATAAATATAAATTATCATAATCACTATAATATCACACCGACGTGTTCAAAGAGGAAGCGACGAATGTATTGTATATATACGGAGTTCGGTCACTCGTTACGGTCCGCAATCAGTTTGCCAGCGCCGCAGGCGGTTAAAGCGAAAGACGGCAGGGCTCGAGCTTCTTTTCAGTTTCAAAAATGATAGATGGAGAGACGTTTCTAACTAAGGAGAACAGGTGCAAGCCGCAAACATTCTTCCAACCTATAATCCCTATATTGAGGTAATCCCGATAATCCTGATAATCCTGATCAAGGAAAGAAGTTTCAACGGGCCAGGACATGGTCCAGGAAACGGGAAGCTGAAAAAAAGTTGGTAATAACAGACGACCATGGTGTTTATTCTCTGTCCCGTGAGAACATTATACGTAAGCCAGCCTCTTGGTGTGTATTTGCTCGCGGAATACGTGCGCTCTCGTGCGGCCAAGAAGACAATTACCTCCGCGGGCAAACGGGCCCGGTCGTGTCGGCACGCTTTGTGCCGCGGCCACTTCTTTCTAGCCGTTCCTCGAATTTACGAAACGTTTCTGCAAGCGGCGCGTGCACCGCCGGCCCTCTCGCCGCCCGCCAGGAAAACGACAGGTACACTTTGTTCCCTTGTCGAGATCCGTTTTCATCCATTGGGCCGCGTTTTGTTCGGAAGAGCGCGGCAAAGAGTGGATCCGTTTGTTAAAAGAAATCGAATCGCAAAATATTGAATGTGCAAATATTACGTGCTATCGCGACTATTGGATTTTTTTTTTTTTTTCTTTTTTTTAAATCGGTTATTTAATGTCGCATCAAAACTTCGTAGGTTATTAGCGACGTCAGAAGGAGGGATTTTTCATATGTTGTTATAGATCTTGGTGAGCTTCAGCTTATTGTATCAGGCTTGATGATGATCCACTGTCCATTAGGTTATCTTTTAGGGTGGGCTTGACTCTGAGTTGTTTTCTTTGCGGTAGATATACTTCACATTGTAATATGAGGTGGTCTATTGTTATATTGGATTTTGTCTATAGTTTAGTGTTGCTAGTTTTTTTAGATTGTCCTCTTTTAAGAAGAAATTTTATCATCTTA